CTTCCTAGGGCTCATTCTCAATAACTTAAAACTGATCTGGGAGTACACAGAAATCATATGCTACTTCATCAGAAATCAGGATCCTAATTTAAATCTACTTTATAACATGGTTAACATAGCCTAATTTTGACTTAGATTTAGCCACCTTTTGGGAAGCATGGATTGATATGACTTTAAGAAAAACTTTAAATGGTTCTTTCTCTGATATTTGCAGCTACATTGGTAGCACCATCATCTGCCTAAAAAGGCAAACAAGAAACTTACGAGTGATCTTTTTCTCTTTCCTTTTTTGCTGAGGTTCATCCGAAATTCTTTTCAAAGTTATCTATTGTTTGTTATAATATACACAGTCAAATACCTTCCCATAGTCAATGAAATCCAAGTAAACATTTTCCTGGTATTCTCTATATTCAGCCAAGATCCATGTGACATCAGCAATGATATCCTTTGTTCCACATCTTCTTCTGAATCTGGCCTGAACCTCTGGCAACTCCCTGTCAATTTACTATTAAACCATTGTTGGATGGTCTTGCATGTGATATCAGTGAATTGTTCTATAATTTGAACATTCTGTTGGGTCACCTTTCTTGGGAAAAGGTAAAAATATGCATCTTTCAATATTTTGTCCATAGAATCTTTCGGTATGCAAATTCAAGGTTTGAATTTTTCTTTACTTTCTCAGTTAAGATATGCTGAGTGTGTTCTTCCTTTTCGGTTTTCTAACTCTAGGTCTTTCAACATTGTATTATAATATTTTGTTTCTCTGTCCTTTGAAACGTTCTGTTCAGCTCTTTGACTTCATCATTTTTTCCATTTGCCTTAGCTACTTTATGATTAAGAGAAAGTTTCAGAGTCTCTTCTGACAATCACTTTGATCTTTTCTTACTTTCCTGTCTTTTTAATGGCTTTTTGCTTTCTTTGTGAATGATGTTCTTAATGTTCTCCCACAAGTCATCTGGTCTTTTGACATTAGCATTTAATACATCAAATCAGTTCTTGAGATGTTCTTGACATCGGGTGGGTTAGAATCAAGATTGTATTTTGGTTTTCATGGACTTGTTTACATTTTCTTCAACTTCAGCCTGAGTTTTCTTATGAGCAATTGGTAGTCTGTGCCATCGTGAGCCCCTGGCTTGGGTATAGCTGCTGATATTGTTTCCTCATAATCTCTTCCCTAGATGTCAATATGATTTCTGTGTATTCCATCTGGAGAAGTCCACATGCATAGTTGCCATCTGAGTTGTTGTAAAATGGTATTTATCCTGAAGAAG